ATCACAAGAAAATTTTTAGACTCTTTTTTTACTATATTTTGAATCATTTGAAAGGAAAGAAATAATCGTATTTTCGAAGAAAAAAAAGTCGGATTTTAGAATCATCATTGATAATTGGTTCTATTATTTTGTATCCATTATTTTATGACATAACATCGAATATTTTGAAGATTTTGACTCTACGGTTTGATTGTTTAATCGATTTGTAAATTTTTTGTAAACGAACGGTGCCCTTTTGGTACTTTTATTTCAATACAATTTTGTACTTTTATTTAAAAAATATATACACTTGTCATTTGGATTGTTTAAAAAATAATTTTAAATAAATATTTTATTCCAAAAATATAATTTGTGATTTAATGAAAAGAATAAGTAGACATTTTAATATTTTTTATTAAATTAAATATCTTGAACAATTGGCTTGATTAATTATTTAATATTTTCATTTTTTTTTATTAAATATTTTATTAAAATTAACTTTTTCCGTCCGACAAATTCGTGTTGGAATGTAAATTATGAAAATATAGAGGTGCAGATAAAATCCTTTAAATTTGAAACTGAGAAAATGAGAAGTAAAAATAAATAAGTACGAGGCGGGATCTCTTCGCGCTGGCTGCCCGTGGTCGCATTATCCATTTCAGAGGAAGGGTTTTAATGGAGAAGATGGAGGAAGGAGACGGAGCTTGAGCTTGTATAATTCAGCTTCAGTTCGTCTCACAATCACCGGTTGGTAAACTTGCTATCCAATCTTTCTCGTCTTTTTCCTCTTCTTTTCTCCATGAATGATGACTCAAAGCTTCTTAAAGCACGGACCAGGCAGTTCTACGCCTTTCTGATATCTTCGAGAATCTCTCGCTGATTTTTTCAGCATTTTTCTTTCAAGTGTTTTATATTTTCATTTTTTCAATTTCTGATTATTCAATTTATAGTTTTCTCATAGGAATGGCAGTAAATCGTATTTCAGAGTTGCACTGTTTCTTTCCACCTGTAAGACGGAGCGACATGAATGTTCTGCCTGTAATCTTTGGTACTTGTCATCCTTTCCAGCACAACAGAATCAGCTTAGAGGCTTCCTCGTCATCCGTTTTCAAGCGGTTTAATCGCTCATCAACGACTCAATTTCCTTCATGGGTTTGTTCCTAACTTCCGTTTATTTTCTATTTAATAGTTGAGATTTGAGAATTACATGTTTCTGAAAAGTGTTTCTGAAAGGTTTTCTAGCTTTTTATAATTTTTTGTTGCATGTGTAATTACTAAGCAGTAGATTTATTATTGAAATGGATTTTGTTCGGAAAAGGTAGTTTGGTAGATTAAGAGGAAAAAGAGTTGTAAAAGCCAATGGAATGGTGGAAAAACTTGGAAGGAAAAGGATAGGAGGAGAATCTAGTGATAGTGATGATGAGGAGGATGGTGGTAAGTCATTCAAAAAAGCAGTTGATGATTCATATCTGGTTGATGATGAAGAGAGACGCGAATGGAGAAGAAAGATTCGTGATGTAATTGATCAGCATCCGGATATCGAGGAGGAACTTGACCTGGTTGAAAAGAGAAAGAAAATGCAAAAACTTCTTGCTGATTACCCGCTTGTCGTGGAGGAGGATGATCCTGATTGGCCTGAAGACGCTGATGGTCGAGGTTTTAACTTGGGTCAATTTTTCAACAAGATTACCATAAAAAATGTCAAGAAGAACAGTGACGACGAAGAGGATGGAAACTATGAAAGTGACAATGAGATAGTGTGGCAGGATGATGATTATATACGCCCAATCAAAGACATTACTGCTGCAGAGTGGGAAGAGACCGTGTTCAAAGACATCAGTCCTCTAATTGTTCTTGTCCATAACCGGTATAAGAGGTTAGTTTTTCTTTTGCTTCATTGGTTTTTGCTTTTATTTGTGCCCCATCGCTTGATTGAACTTGAATTAGTAATCACTGATCCCTTACTGGCAACTGAGAACGTAGACTTATCATCCTGATGATTGATGTAGCCTCCTGTTATCTTTGCATCCAAGTTTCTTGGTTCATAAGTAGTCTCAAATCGTCTGGTATTATCATGCTAGTGCAGTTTTAATCCATGAGTAGAGACTTCTCTATGATTATCATTATCTTCTCAACACGTTGAGATGTTCCATATGTATAGTGCTCGAGAACAAACTTGTGGTTTCTTCAAAACCTCTTCTGTAATCTTACCTCTTTAGCAATTCCTTAGTGTCAAGCTTGGCCAGTGATATGTGAATGTCCTAATCCAAAAGAATAAAGAATTTTCTGGTGCTTTTTATTCTTTGTTTTGCCTATCTTTGGATTTATATATGGAGACACATGCATATATATTCAGTCTGATTACCGCTGGTTTACTATACAAATGAAACTTTTAATGAACTATGTCAGAGAATGTTCTAGATTCTTATTCACGGAAGCTCAAGCATCTGAGACACCTCTTTTGTAATTACTTACTTACAGGTCTATTAAGTCATGTCAGTTGTGAGACACCTCTTTTGTAATTACTTACTTACAGGTCAATTAAGTCATGTCGGTTGTATATCGACTAAGTATGATGATCTGTAACGGTTATGTATCTATTGGATCATTCTACATCTTGGGTTAGAATCCAATATGGTATTAGGACTAGTTTTTTCCTTCTTATGATTAGGCTTTTGCTTCCACAAAAGATCTTATAGCTATGCACTGCGTGAACTAAGGATTAATTCTACATTCGCTATGTGAGAATCAATAATGACTTTATACATTTGTTAGGATAGAATCTAATGCAGAGTACTTCGAACCATAACTTCTGACATTTAGCTTGTCCGAGAATCATGTTGTAGTCTAATTAAAATATCATTCTTTGCAGTCCAAAAGAGAACGAAGAAGTTAGAGATGAATTGGAGAAAGCTATACATATCATATGGAACTGCAGGCTACCTTCCCCTAGAGTAAGTAAATGGATCTAACAATTTATAATTTGCCTTAAATATCTGTATCTCAACCTTTCAATATCTGAAGGTCATTGTGTCTGACATAATAATTCTTTTATCAGTGTGTTGCAGTTGATGCTATAGTTGAGCATGATTTAGTTTCTGCTCTACAAGTATCTATGTTTCCAGAAATTATTTTCACTAAAGCTGGAAGGATATTATACCGCGAGAAGGGTAATTTCTTAAACTAACGAAAATAGGTTTTATATGTTTCTTTCTGTCCAGTTGTGTATGATCTGAAAATCTGCTAGCAAATTCAGGTGTCCGAACTGCAGATGAATTCTCGAAAATTATGGCATTCTTTTATTACGGAGCTGCAAGACCACCTTGTTTGGATGGTATTGGTAACATCCAGGAGCCGATCCCCAGCCTGCCGATCACGCTCAATAACAGTTCTAAGCTGTCTTGACAGTGAAGTCCATTGGTACAATTGCCCTTAACTGTAAGTTGGAAACAATAGAGATATGCTGCTATGTTATATATTTTCTTTTATTGTATATCCGTTTTCCCATGAATTTCTAGTTTTTCTCCTCTGTTCTCTGCGGATTTTTGCTGAAGCTTGTGATTCTGCTCTCTAATGCATAGGTTTTATATAATTTAGATTATCAAATTTTATTTAGGGGCAAATTATAGTTTCAGCTCTTAGTGATTTGGTCTGATATAATTTATATCCAGATACGATATAAATTGTTATAAAAAGTAATACGATATAAATTGTAAAACCGAAATTACATAGCTTTAACTGATATAATGTTTCTTATTGTAAAGTTCACTGCTCTGAGTCTTCTTCACGTCTCCTTCTTCCTCCTCCAGTGGAGTCTTCTTCAATCCATTTGGTAAAAGCATTTATTTCCAGATGGGACAAAAGGGTCAGCTTCCCTTCTAATGAGCTTATGGTAGATATGTAGCTACGTATAGAGAACACCCAGAACCAATATATCTCCATTGATTTTTTAATTTCTATAAAACAAATTTGAACCATAAATATATATTTTATAAATTTATTTTTTTATCGAAATAAATATCTTATACAATACAAGTAGTTGTATGTATCTATTTAACACGAGTGTAAGAAATTTCTCAGGAAATTACTAGTTATTTAGCATAAATACATATATACATGTATACATAAAGTTTTAGTTTTTGTTAAGCTTTTTTTTTTTTTAATGTATATTAAATATTGTGTGAAAATATCAAGTAAATAAATAATTAAAATTTTCTTTTTATATTTGAGTTAGATATCAAAAAATTAATTTTCCAAATAATAATTTCAAATTATAATAATATATATTATTTATTATTTATATTTCTTATTAACATATTAAATATAATTTATAAAATACGTAGTGTTTTATTCTTATTTTTTGCATAGTTTAAAATAAATCCACTATGACTATTCCTCTATGTCTATATTTATTATTTATCCTCCCACTCCAACCAACCGCCATTGTCTGCCTTTCCAAACACCGTCGCATCCATCTCCCTTCCCCCACCCCCAAAACAAACAACGGCGATCGATCATGAACTCAAAGGCGACCTGGCTTGCGACTCTCATCCTGATTCTGTCAAGTATTATAATCTCAACGAAGACCGCGTTTGGCCAGCCTCAGAAATTATCAGCATACGAAATTCTTCAACAATACGGTTTGCCCAAGGGCCTGCTCCCGGAAGGAGTAACCAGGTACGAACTGAACAAAGAAACCGGCGAGTTCGCCGCGTACATGGACGGAACCTGCAGCTTTCCGATCCAATCGTACAACCTGAGATACAAGCAGGTTATAAGAGGAGTGATATCGAATAGGAGGGTCAGCAATCTGAGCGGCGTAAGTGTGAAGGTGTTCTTCTTCTGGCTCAACATCGTACAGGTGGTGCTCGACGGCGACGAACTTCTCTTCTCGGTGGGAATCGCCTCCACCAGTTTCCCCGTGACGAATTTCTTGCAGTCGCCGCACTGTGGCTGTGGACTTGACTGCAATAAGTTGGTTAGCACTGGAGTTCAAGCTGCTGCTGCTGCTTCTTAAACGGTAATTAGTGATAATTTATTTGGTGAATTTAGTGATGATCGGTATAAATAATTATTATTAATGATCGGCTAGGAGTTCTTAATTGATAATTATTATTGATTATTAGTTAAATAATTCTATATTTGGACGTAATGTTTAACTAAGTACTAGTAAATAAAAATAAAAGGATATCTTAAATTTAATTTTAAAGTAATCTTACAAATTAGGTACAATTTTTAAAAATTCAAAGTTTCAATATTAGTTTCAAGTTATAAACTTTTAACTGTTAGATTGTTCATAAATTTTAGTTAATTAGCAAAAATATACACAATAATTGTAATGTAATTTTTTAAATGAAAATACATAGTTAGACTCTTAACATATTAAAAGTTAAATTAAATTTTTTATATTTAGTTAGAACATTATTCAAACAATATCAAATACTGTCTTTATCAATTTTCAACAAGTTATGAGTAAAAGTATATGTATATATATATATATATACACATAGATATATTGTTACATATATTTGAGGTGTTTTTATTTGTGTACGTATATGTGGTAAATGATTTCGAAGAATTATGGAGGTGTCATTGTTAATGGGCAAGAAACTTCCTACCCATATGAAAAAGGACAACATGGGAACATGAGTAGTCATGATATTGGATTTACGTGAGTAAATAAATGTATGCCAATCAACTTCACATTCAAGCTATATGTATATATATGTTGGATGCATAATGATGAAAACAATACATGTATAATCATGAAATTCATAGTATATATGATTTTACCATGTAATCAAAATTTTCTCTTTCAATTTGGTTTAAATTCTAGTTTCAAAGATATGAACAATAATACAATACATATAAGAAAAATAAATTAAATTAAAATAAACACATATTTTAGAATTCTAAAATAAAAAATAATAATTAATTGTACTGTCCTATAGTGTATAAATTTTATTTCATTATTAAACTATGTAAATTTATGTCTCATTATAAATAAATAAGTTTGTATATAAATTCAAATTTCAATTAAATACAATTTAGAAAGAGCTAAAATTTTCATTAATCACTTTACCACCTAAATTACACCCACCGGTAATGATTCTTTTACAAATTAATTAATGAATTTAGACAAAAACAATCTTACGTCATCATCGTCTTCAACCGTACCTCATTCATATCACCGCCTCCGCAATTCTCATCTTGACTGCCCGCTGCATATATAATATAATCAATAACCAGGCAGTCAATACCATGTCCATGGAACTCACTACCTCAACTTAAATACCTCTCTGGAATTTCTATATATACGTGTGTATGTGGGTCTGGTGAGCTATATACATCTACAGCCAGATCTGCAAATACTTGCAGTATTTTTTAAAAAATGTTTGCGATATTTCTCTTCATGATCTTCACCGCAGTGCCATTGGCGCGCTGCGGTGGCATCGACGACACTCCTACGGCCTACGAAGTTCTTCAACAATACGATTTTCCTATCGGTCTTCTTCCCAAGGGCGTACTCGGCTACAAATTAGACAGTTCTACTGGTAAGTTCTCCGTTCACTTAAACGGTTCTTGTTCATTCTCAATACAATCGTATGAGCTCAAGTATAAGTCTACATTTACCGGTGTTATCGCCAAGAGGAAGCTCTCTGAACTCTCCGGCATCCAAGTGAAGATTCTGTTTCTGTGGCTAAGCATTACTAAAGTGACTCGCGACGACGATGAGCTCGAATTCTCGGTCGGGATTACTTCGGCGGATTTTCCTGTCGATAACTTCAACGAATGCCCTACCTGTGGATGTGGATTTGACTGTGATTCGAGGAAGATTGGTAATGGTGGATTGCTGTCGTCTTCTTGATTTAGGTCTTGATGCTTACTGCTTGACTTTGTGCTTTATGTATATGGTAATTAGGTTTTATCTGTAATGTTAATAGTGGATGTGCCTAATATTGACTGAGGAGTCTGGTTCTATGCTTCTGCTTTATTGTATTTGCTAAAAGGAGATCCGACGGTCACGATGACACAGCAGGGTGAGCTGCAGGTGATTTTAGAAAAACCCACAACCTATTTTAAGTAACCATTTTTTGTCTATTTTTTTCTAGAGACAAAATCTCTAGTCAGTCATCACGTGGGATATAACAAACCAAAACGCAAAACTCAATCCCCAAAACGACGTGTCCTGTAGTGATCCAAATCATTCTGCAGCGAGACGACACCGTTTTACCTGACGTGGCGTCGTGGCCCACTCTCCTCCTACCTTTCTTCCATCTTTTCGCTGGCGACCTACCCTCCGAACTTTCTGGTTATCTGCTCGTCGTTCACAAAAACTTTCTGCGAGGAGAATCCGAGAAAACTGTCACATCGACCTTGTATGATTCTGTATAGAAAATAATATTTGCATTTCGAGCAATACCCATGTCTGTTACCTCCACTTTCCCCATCTTCGTCCTCTTCTTCTTCGTCCTCCTCTCACCGCTCTCCAGCTCTTCCACCTCAGCAAATGATGCACCGACGGCGTACGAAGCTCTCAGGAACTATGACTTTCCCGTCGGACTCCTTCCGAAAGGGGTCTTGAAATACGAGCTGGACAAAAGCACGGGCAAATTCCGTGCCTATCTGAACGGCTCTTGCAGCTTCGCTCTAGAGGGATCGTACCAATTGAAGTACAGATCTACGGTCAGTGGGTATATCTCCAATGACAGGCTTTGGAACTTGAGTGGGATAAGCGTGAAGGTGCTGTTCTTGTGGCTGAATATCGTGGAGGTTGTCAGGGATGGAGACGAACTCGAGTTCTCTGTTGGGATCGCTTCCGCGAGCTTCCCGATTAATAATTTCTACGAGTGCCCGCAGTGTGGATGTGGCTTGGATTGCGTTAATGGGCAAGTAAGGAAGCTTAAAACAAACCCTTTGCTTTCTTCATTTTAGGAGAATTCAATTTGTTCCTTGTTGAAGGGGATGTTTTAATGGAGTTTAAACGTCTGTACATGTCTACTTTGAGATGAATCGTAATGGGATTTCTTAGTTATTTATCATTGAATTAGCTTTAGATTTTATCGAGTGATAAGGGTCATACACTGATGTGAGCATGGACGGATTGAACCATTCCAACAACCATTCAAGCCAAGGGGCCCACGGGTGCTAATTTTTTTTGTGTGAGTTTCAGATTGCATTTATTGACCGAGTTATCATCTTCATGGTTGGAATTTTGTCTTGGAAAGAGGGCTCATCCTAGATTAAGCTTCTAGAACTAGGAACCAGAATGGTCATACGATTCTTCTGTTTCTGAAGAAGGTGAGGTTCAATCCAATTCTAGTTAAATTCTAGCATGACTTCAGGCCTAGAAGGAAGCTTGTAGTAGCATGATTTTAGAAATTATATTCAGGTTGTGATGGTTCATGAGTCCATCTAAATTTTAGTCAAACTTTAGTTCTAATTCTAAATTTATTCGAGTTGATGGTGGGGTTAGTGCAGACTCAAACCCAATAAATTATGTTTTAGTTATACATACACAGACACGCACACGCACACACACACACATATATATATTAAAACTCTTACCCAAAAAGGAATTGTATGTATTAAGACTTAATGTGAGAATTAACTAGAAATCAAACAATAGATGGACTAGAATTAGCATAATTCTAATTAAAGTCTTCTTTACAAGACTAGTAGTTAGTCTTGGAAACCAGCTTCCTATGATTATGAGAGAATCACAGATGTATCATCTTGATGGGGCACATGGTATCAGAGCTAGATTAATATGGCATATTCAACCTTCTCTTCCACTGAGAAAACCCCTTTGTCTGGTCACACCACAATCTTTCCAGCCAACCCAAATTCCACTACTTCCTGTTATGCCCACCACCCCTTATTTTAATTGATCCTTAACTGATGTATTGTTTGTGTTGCCTTAAAAATGCACTTCCGGTACGCAGAAGTGTGGTCTCAGGGAATTTCTTGAACATTGACTGAGTCGCATGGTATGGCTATGGGCATAATGAAATGGATATTGAGTTTCTGATATAGGCAAGCCTCTGTTTCAAGAACTAGGTTCTGTGTTGAAATATACAATTTTCTTGATGTTTTAAGTCTTGCGTATTGCTTGACTACTGCTGGAAGTAGGACATTCTGGTTTTGTAGTAAAAGGACATATATTTTAGGCTTTTTTTCACTGCATATTAATGGATGGATGTATAGTTATTCAGAGCTATCTTTAAGATTTTCTTACTTTTATTCATAGAATTGGCATGTCTAATCAGAACCAAGCATGAAATTGTTTTCTTGAACAGTTTCAATACTAAAGATGTATCAGAAGCGTGATAGTTCCCTGTAGATGTATGAGAACCCTAGGATTTAGTTCAGTTTATTATAATTTAAGCAGCCACTTCTGGATTAAATGAACTTTAAAAGAAAATGTGAAATTATTTGCATATCTATTTTTTTATTTTGGAATGTGAATATAAAGTATACTTGCAAATGAAATTCCACATTTGTTCTGAAATTCATTTGTTCCAATTTTCAACCCTAGCATGAGATTTTATTAAAGTCACAACTTTTTAAAGCTTGGAATTTCTTCTGTTGAAGGTTACTGTTAGAACATGGATGTAGGAGTAGCAACCTTGAGATTTCAAAATTGTCAAAAGTACGAAAACATCTCACGAGATTCAATAACCCCAAATAACAAATTTTTTGTGCTTATTTGCACTGGCCTTGCTTTACCAACTATGGTGAATGACATAAGAACCCTAGATTGGGTCTATTCTTATTTTTAAGCCATTACCATATTTTAAAAGACAGCCTTTAAAGCTCAAACCCTTTTAGTCAAGTGTGTTCTCAGAATATTGTGTTGTTCCAGAAGAGGCTTCTTTTATAGCGGTTAAATTGATTTCGAGGAATAATCCTCAGTCATGTGTCTGGATCTTTGGTAAATACCGATTATTAGCTTTCCATACTGGGGAAACCTAATTATGATAACGGGTCCGTTAGAAACTCTACTAGGAGTGATCTTCCATGTGAGTGTTTAGATAGGAGCATGAAATACAGAGTAGGGATTAGGTGAAGATTTTCCAGTGTTGTGGCAATCAGTGAAGATATGGGCTTACTGAGCAAGATAAAAAGGAAAGCAACACCTTTAGCTTTAACTGATGAAGCAAAGATTAGTTTGCTCTTTTTATCACTAAGAAGAAATAGAAGAAAACAAGTGGAAATTTAGAATCTGGGTTACGCCTGAATATGATTCTCAGTGATTAGTGCATATCTATGTGATGTTTGGTACCGAACCCGAGTGGTAAAAATAGAAAGAAGAAAACATGTAGATTGACCTTGAAAGTCTGATTATAACTAGATGAGATTTGAATTGGATTAGTTTAAGTATACATTAAATATATATAAATTGTGATTAGTTTTATGTGTTAAATATTTTCTAAGAAAAAAGATGTAGAAACAAATGAGATGAAAAAAATAAAATGTAAATAGTAGTAGAGGTAGCAAACTATAAAATGAACAATACAGATTCAATATCAGTAGAGGAATTCAGGTCTTAGTAAGATAGAGTTACTTGTTTACAAGTATTTTTTTCAGGCTAGAGAAGAAAAAAAGAACAAAAAGAATTAAACTATCACCTGGTGAACTGAGCCTAAGTAGGATCATAATTATCCATAGAGAGATAAAGAACAAGGTCATCGAAGGCTTTTATAACTTTCAGTAAAGCCCACAAGGATGTAATGAGTTCAAGCCACTAAAAACTGAGTGCACATATTCCCAATCTGATTAATGTTAGAGATCTGAACTTCCTAACTACGGGAGAGGGTCTCACGGATATGGATCTTAATAACAATCCGATTAACGTGAGAGATCTGAGCTTCCTAACAACGGGAGAGGATCTCACGGATATGGATCTCAATAGGAGTAATCATCGAATTGTTACTGTATAGGTTGTTGAAGGAGTTGTTGAACAAGAAAATAACCAGTCTCCAAAATCAGTCTCTGAATACCATTCTCTCAATCCAATTTGAGACCATCATAGACACTGTTGAACTCGGTTGTAATAGAGTGTGGTTGATCCTAATGCGGCTCATGAAGCCCGCCAACCATATACTACTACTATCTCAAATCACGGCCACAGATCGTTGCTAGGGTCTCCAAAGCCAAATCCATCCATATTAAGTTTGTGCTACCCGGCAGGCTATTATGGTTGTCGGTGGTAGTAACATGTGGTGCTTGTTTGGAATGCGCAGCATGACTACACTGACCGAACTAGCTGACTTCTTTTTGAGAAGGTCGTGCGGATTCTTGTTCTACTAATCCTCAGTACTACTCTCGCCATCATTTCTCTGCAAGTGTTCATTTCTTTTTCTCCATACGAACCAAGTAGTTGTCGGAAAGATAGATCTTCGACTAAAGATATCACGTTCGTTAACTTCTGTAAAAAGCGTTCATTGAATCGAACCATCTAACAATTAAACCCATCCAACCCTTTTGATTTGGTACATGAATCCAAACTTGAGAAGCCACCTCTTGATTTAGTACATGAATCCATACTCGATAAGCCATCTCTTATTAGCCCCAGAGAACTCCCATATTTGCACTATTCTTTTAAATGAGAATTATACCATATTTACACATCAATTATAACATTATTTACTCAGAAATACATAGATCAGGAAAGAGGTAAATTTATCAATACAGTAGTAATAGAAGAATAGTGAATGGATCATAAGAGTGAAGCATTATATTGCCAATTGGGTGACTGCTACTGGCAATCAAAAGTTCAGTTTTTTTGGGCATTGCACATGGAGTCACCCAAGAAAAAGGTAATTGTTGGTATGATTCGTTCTTCTTTCTGGCAAAGAAAAGAGAAGGCAAATACAAATCTTTATGTAAAATGTAATGCAGTTTTTATGATTGTTTACAACATTAAGTAATCATTAAGTATAATTTATTATTTGACTTCTATTTGCTGGTAAATATTATAAAAGTTACTGCTATAATCATGAGTTGTCTGTCATTGAGAGAAGAATTTAGGAACATATTGGCCTTTGAGTCAAGCCATGGGTCATGTCCTCCATCAACAAAAGCCAAGAACAGAGTGTTTAATATCCAAACCTGAACGTCAGAAATCTAAAGTTCCCAAAATTGTTTCTCTTGGAGTGGCTGAAAAGTAGAGTTTTCTAATATCCATGCCTTAAAATTGAAGAGTATTTGGTTCTTAATAATAAATACCCAAATGAATATATATATATATATATATATATATATTTTTTTTTTTGTAAAAGTGTGAATTCACATTGTAAACTGTATATCAACATGTATTGATTACTAAAGTATTGTATTATATAATTGGTGGAATGTATGAATTTTTAATTAAAAAATAAATATTGGTATTTAATAATTATAACTTGCATGAATAATTTTACAAAAATTTTATGTCTCTTTCAAAAAATAATTTACTAAAAAACACGTGGATCACTCGAATTCCACCAACATATGCATATACATGTATATATATATATATATATATATAAATAATACCATTCTATATATAAAGAGAGTTGGGTGCAAGTTGGCAAATGTTGCTGTCAATTATTTTTTTAAAAAAATAAATAAATAAATAAATAAAGAAGGGAAGGAAGTGTTGAAACGCAAATGAAATTCTCCACTTGCAAGTAATTAATGGAGACATGAAATTATTTGGTGATGGGAATCCAGAAGGTTCAAAGCTTGTGTGCGCTTATCCATAATGCATGCATCGGCAACTTCCTCTTCCTTATTATAGTACATGTTTTTTGTATGTATGCATGTGTGTGTCGTGTCTATATAATATATATATATATATATGTATGTATGTATGTATGTATGTATGTTTTCCAAGTTAATGTAATTGACTCTTCAACACCAGACAACTCACTGTCTGTTAAGCATGTCCTTGTCTCTCGACCTTCCCGCAATTCACCGCATCTTCAATTTTCTTTTATATATATGTATATATATATATATATTTAATCTTTGAGTTAATCATTTCAAACTATTTAACACAAATGTCTTTCTCATATTTATTTCCACGGACTATTAATACGGCTGCGATTGCGGTCACTCCTCAATCACCCAAAACAGAGACACAGTCCAAAACAGAGAAGGCATCTGTTCCGAGCTTATCTACATATACAAGATATACACACACACAACATATACATATACATATATATATATAAGAGAAACTATAATTTTACTGGGTTTAAATTTTAAATATAGAATAACAGAGCATGTGGCTAGCAGATCTCAAATTTAAAGTTTCCCCACTTAAAATTAGAAAAATTTTACAGTGTCTTTCTTTTCAATGAATAAAATTTTACAATTATGTTAATTATATAATTTGTCTCACTCATAATTATAATGAAATTTTATCTTAATTCATAATATAGACTCGATAAAGCAACGAAAATGATAGTATAAAAAAAAAAAAATTAGTTGTCTGCAACTTGCAAGCAATGATAATTCTCATAATTTAATTTGGTTCTTAAATACCCTGTCAATACATTATGTTATATAATATAAAAAAAATAAAAACATGTGTTGTTCTCAAGGAAAATGTGGATTCAATATTTTCTTCGCCCACTCCGCTGGTTATTAGGATTATAATAAAATTTTCTTAATTTTAATCCGACTGAATTTTCTTTTAACCGGACAAGAAAAATATATATATTATTTTCAATGTCCAAAAATTGATTCAAAAATGATATTATATTTATGTGCACATATATATATGTGTGTGTATATATACATGTACACAACGCTTGTAATTATTTAATTAATTAAAGTTAATTAGTAATCAAGAAACTGTATATATATGTGTATATATTTATACTCGAAAGATTTGATTAAAGAAAAACCACTATACCAAATATAATCAATATTTTTGAAGTGTAATTATAATAAAAGCAAATATTCCGGACATACTAATCATGACAAAGTTAATTTATTCATTGGATTTTTCTTACACTAATCATCATTAGAACTAATAAAAACTATTAGCTCCGACCTCATCGTAAAGCAGAAAGTAACGTAAGAGAAACTGCCCCATCAACATCAACGGTAAATCAAAGAATTAGACATCTATGATTTGTTTAGAACTAGCGGACGCACCGATATCTCCGTGCGCTGTACCACACCTTCACCTTTCTCCCTTTAACCGAACACTAGCTCTTTGTTGCTCAACAAAGAAGCGACGACGTTTTAAAATTTTAAGAACTATCTCGTTTTTTTGTTTTGTAACTGTTTTGTTACAGGCATCTCCATTTTTAGTGCTTGTTGTTTAAGAGCGTGGCGCGTAGCTCCGCGGGATCGATCTCTTTGGTGCCATTATCGGGCCTGTAGTAGCCGGTTTTCGGATCGGGCACCCAGGACACCTTCTCGGTTGACCGTGCAGACTCCTCTCCTGTTTTGTTCAACACGGCGCTGTTTCTCGAAGCTCCGGCTCTCCCCGCGCTCGATACCACTCCTTGCGATCCGGTTGCATATCCTCGTCTGTAAATACACAAATCACATCCAGATAAGAACCAGAGATTAACACGTAAAAGCCAAACCTAAACGAAAATCATCACGAAGAGACATGAAAACTCGATAACTCACCTAAAGACGGCGGTTGATATTCCATCGGCGAAGAAAACAGAGAAAACCTTAGCGTTTGAGAAAGAGCGAGCCATTTCAAACTACTTTAACAGAGTTTTCAGGTCCAAAGCGCAGAAAGAAGAAGAACTTGACACCGCTACACAGAAACTTCGCTTCAGATTGCCGTTGAGAGAAAGAGAAAAAAGAAAACTTCGTTGGCAACGATCGAAAAAAGATCTCTCTCGCTGCCTCTCGCTTTTCCTCTCTCTCTTTCTCTCTGTCTCGTCTATGCGCGAAGAGTGAGTTGCAGGGAGGAGAGGAGAAGGGTTTATATAGAAGCGGAGAAAGAAAGAACGCGTGATATTCGTCAACGAATACGATCCACTGGAAGCAGTTAACGGACCTCGTCAAATTAGGGCTCCAGACCACTCACGTGCATTTGGTTTGGAGTGATGAATCTGAAAGGTGAAATTACTCAAATACCCCTGAATCCCTTGATTCACTTTAATCGAATGATATTATTATATATAATTATTAAATAAAGCAACTTAATTATTTTTATTGAATTTATTAAAATTAACATTTATTTACAATTTTAAAATTCTATACTAAATTAAAAATAATTTCAATTATTTTATGCTAAAATTTTCATTTATATGTATTGATAGTTGAAATAAATTTATAAATTTAAAAATTAAATTAGGAGGAAAAAGATTAAGGGCATAAATGTAAAAGAGCAAAGTGCGTGGTTGTCATCTCTAATATTTACGTGGGGGCAAATTGGAGGGGTGTGAGAGAGAGTTAACTTCAATCGCGATCAAACGCGTGAGGGAGCACGAGAAAGGGCGAAGGTCGGCGAGAATTAGGAGTGAGTTCCAAAAAGGCTATGCAAATGGAGCAACTTTAAATCTGGGCCGTCAACGTGTCGAGAAATTAGCGGATAAGATGAGGCGGCGGGACTTGGCTTTCTTTCTAGGAAGCGAACTGCAAAAGTGACCGTTTCTCGTGGCGAAAGGTCTGCCGCGGTCTTAGTCAACACCAAAGTCCAAACCTCAGTCGTCACTCGCGCGTATTGTTTCACTTAATATTATATAAAAATAATTATTAATATATAATATTTGATTTAATGATATATATAATTTAACTTAGTAATATGTTCGTAATATTTTGGATGATTAAATTAAATTGTATAGTAATAAATTATAAATTTTTTAAATAAAATAAATACTTTGTACTAACTAATTTTTTATTATAAAATTAAATTAAATAAAAAATCCGACCTAATATTTTATATTCAATAAAAAAAATAAAATTAAATAACAACATATTAATTAGTATTTATTTTTATCGAATAAAAAAATTAAATTAAAATTTTAATTTATTATTATTGTCTTAACTAAATAACTCTAACATGCAAAATGTTATTTCGTTTATAAATATAATTAATTTATTAAAATTTTATTATATTTTCACTAATTTATTAGTAAATTAATTATTTAATATCGTTAAATTAAATATTATAAATTCGTTACCGTTATTTCATAACATGCCTATAAATTTAACTATTTCTCAAAATTATTTATTTTTCTTTATTATTACTCTTGTATTAATTTTTTTTACTATATTTCATTTGTGATTTTTTTTGTTACCTATACGTATGATTGCGAGTGATATTAAATAATTATATACTATTCATATAATTTATAGTAACCGACAACTATTTGTTCACAATGTGTTGTGATTGACTACACGAGTATCACATGTTATAAATTAGAAGTCACTTTTATATTGTAAACTTTAGATGTATGAATTATCTAGATAGTCCTTGAGGAATATAATATCTTAAAGTTGAACTTATAAAAAAATAATTGTATAATTAAATATTATATTCAATTCGAAAATATAATATCTTAACATTAATATACAAATTTAATAGTTGATTAATTTTAATTAAATAAAAATTTTAAGCATAAAGAAAAAATTAATTTATTTAAAAATACCACAATAATTGTTCGTACTTTTATGATTTTTTATAAATTTATAGATTCGAATTGAAGTATGTATTATACGTGTAAAGGCCCGGAACTTAAATAAAATAAATTTATAATTTAAAATGCGAAATCTAATAGTAGACTTTAGAGTTTGCATTCCATAAATAATATTTTAGAATACCCAATAGGGATATGGTAATGTCAATTTAAAAAAAAATAGTTAAAGAAAAACGAATAAATAAGTATTTTATGATAACCTTCATTAATACTTGAAGGAAATTTAGATGGTGAATTACTCACAACCCTCTTCCTGATCAGGATTTTGATATTGGTCTTCTTGATTTAAAATGGTTAATGAATTGGTTAGCTACACTAATTCAATAAGAATATCGCACTAATCACATATACGGAAAACTGAAAATTGGTAAAAATCATAAAAACAACTATTAAAACCTTTAATTTGATGTAAATTCATTTAATATAAAGAAAGTCGTTTATTCCATACTCACATAAAGAGTTTTCCCAAAAACAACATACGAAAACCCATATTCATACCACATTTATATTTTAAAGCATAAGATAACAGGAGGCAATAACTTTATATTCTTACATACTTACTGATACCCCTGGAGATCCATAGGAATGTCCCCCAACTCGTAAACTCAATATTCAATTTTTACAATAATTGGTCGTCTCCATACCCCATCCGGTAATTGACGCCAAATATTCAATTGTTTCGATACCCCGTCCGGTATGATGATAAACTATGTCTTTCAAACTTTTATGGTAAAGGATTTTTCAGTCCCGTTCGACTGAGGTAACGTTCACAGTAGGGTTCCCTATATACCGAGCCCATCCGTCATTTCCCTGGGTGCCCACTAAGTATTTCACATAGAGATTTCCATCAACAAAACCACTAATCACGTAAATCACTATCTCATATTATATTTACAAATCAATTAAACGATATTCATGCTGATAATATATAACCGAATATATCAGATAAATCAATAAAACTATAAAAATATAAATTTAGAACATACACCATATAATAACAAGCAAATAGAGCAGTACAATAAAATAAACAGAAAAATTGAAACAATTGTTAATTAATTAATTCCGTCTTCACTAGTGACATATAATTATTTTAGATTCTCTATTTTTTCATAAAAATACGAAATTATATAACGTTAAGTCTCAATTTACCATAATGGGGAATATGGTGAAAGATTCTTACCCGGATCGTTATTTTAAGATGTGTGTTGTCTCTACACCTCTTAACGAGTACCGAATTTCTTGAATTTTTCATGCAAAATCTAAAACACTCATTACGTATTTAAAAATATCCCATAAATCTAAAATCGGTGCCCAAAACTCTTTCTGGCTGATTTTGGGGTTCTAACGCGGTAGAGCTGCCGTGCTCCAACGCCCACGGCGGCGGTTCACCTCAATCTGGTCAGTTTTGGCCAATTTTAGCCGGTCTTGACCAGTTTTAGACATACCCCCACATAAAAATATGTTAGGGGCCTCGGTTGGCAGGAAAATCTCCAAAAATACCAAACCTACCGGCGGGGGGATCACCGTGTGCAGCGGCTCTGCCAGTCCTTCTTTGCGGCTGAAGTTCCTTCTTCTGCTAACTTGTATAGAAAAAGACGGTGAACACAGTGATCGAAAAATTGTATAAAACGTGAAATGAGAACGGGCTCATCGGAGAGATTTTTGAGTTTTGGTCGCGGCAGCTCCGCCAGACTTTGCCCGTAATTTTCGGCTCACCTGCCGTCCCTCTTACTCCGATTTGGCCACAGGAATGCTCGGAATTGAATTTATAGCAGGTAGCAGAAATTTTTATATTTTTTGGTAGCCGGTGGTGGCTCTGGTGCGGTGGCTCCGGTGCGGTGGCAGTCAGCAGTCAGCCTTCTTATCCGGCGCTTGATTTTTCTTCTCTGGCAGAGGCTGGCGGCTAAGGTTTGGGCTCCTATGCGACGTGAAGTATTTATATCCATCTAGTGTCGATTTGGGCCGCTCATTGTGATTGATATCGTCTATCCGATTGCGCATAAATAGAAAACGAATCTGAACTGTCTATCGCGATTAATCTCATCCGTCTGATCACGCCTAAGGAGGAAACAAATTCGGGTCGTCAACGCGCGCGGGATCGATCCTGGACCGTTCGATCGTGGGGCATGCGCATCGTCCGCGTGGCCTCTCGCATGACACTGATATCAGCGTGCCTTGCCACGCAACATGCTCCGGTTCATCGAGGTTGTTGATTGGCAGTTCTACGTGGCCAAATTTTTTCTATTTGCATTTTGATAATCTGTTTTTATTTTTTTTAAAAAAAACACTACCCGAACACAAATTTTTATTTATTTTTTCCAAAATT